GGACACCATGGGACAAAGCTACTAACTCTGACTACCGTGAGCCCTCTGATTACTGAAATTCAGTAATGACAGCGTCCAGTCTGGGGTACATCTTTTTTATAGGAGAGATTTCATTGCTTTAGAGAAGCTGAATCCTTGGAAAGGTTGAAGTTTTTTTTTGTTGTTCTCAATGGAACTAACAAAATCTTTGAAAGTAATTTTCAGACATTAAGGCAGACTCTTGACAATTATTACTAAGGATAGCAATTCTGGGAACCTGATGAAAAAAAAACAACAACACTTTTTTATTTTTTTTACTAGACAGACAAGCTCAGGCATTTTATGCTTAAGGGTACCTAAAGGTATGTAAATTCCTCTTAGACATAAGATTTATTAGTCAAGCCCCCTCCATGATGAAGTATATTAATGAAAATCTTTTTTCAGTGGACACATCTATGTTAATTACCATGGACAGCTCACCACTGTGCATGTATGAGGGACACTACCTTACCTTAATTCCATTTAACACATCACTGTCTTTTTTTTTTATTATTATTTTTTATGTCAAGTAAGTATAGAGAACGCCTGCAAATGTTAAAGTCATGACTGTACTTCCATTCAGTCTCCATGCAGTGCAACTGGCTCTATTAAAACAGAATAGCAGAGACGAGTAAGAAGGTAGAGATTAACGGCCCCTGTACTTTAATGATTTTAAGCTTATCTTCTTCTACCTGTAATTACACTCATGGGACAAAGATTTTTCCCAGTGCTACTATTTATTTACGTTATCTCACTGTAAACACCACTGGAGTAATATAATTGGACAGACTCAATCTATATTATGACAGAATTTCTAATCTACTCCTTTAGAAAGCTGTGCTCCTGAGGAACTGTGCTACTGTGTGCTGATAAGAAATCTGTTGTGGAGCTACCACAGCTACTTCGTGCCTTTGGTAAGTGCTATGCAATTGGTTCTATGCTTGTAGTATGAAGAATGCATATTAAAGGGTGGTCTTACTCATTTTTATATAGATACAAGTTTGCAATGATTTTTTCCTGATCTCAGAATTTCTCCTGCCAGCAGGGACTACAGAAAATTAAAAAACAAAATCAAGAAAACTAACTAATAACATCTTTCCACTCGCATATACACGGAATTTTCAGCGGTATTGGAGACTTGCCACAGCTAGAGAAGGAGCGTTAGGAGTAGCATGTAAGGGCTTTTAAAAGAGCTGAAAAAAACATACTTGTGCTTTTCCCAGGTGATGCTGGCAGGAATATGAAGGAAGGGTTAGTGATTTTCTTTTAACAAACTCTATGCTGTTGGAAGGGTTTAGGCAGTGGTCCTTGAATTTTCTCTCTGGTGGACACGTCGTAGACTTGGTGGCTTTCCCAACACTGGTGCAAGACCTGAAACTCATCCTGGTATACTGGTAGTTATGGGTGTTGCATGTGAGTAGAGGAAGAGGGTGGAAGCTAATAGAGAGATGTAGAAGGGTTTTCTACACGTTGTTTTGAACTTAACTCCTGTTATGTGTTCGTCAAAGAGTCCACCTGTTTTTGACATTATTGTTCCATTCACCTGTTTCTCCCTAATTCTGCTTTTTTAGAGCACTGGAATAACAAAATTATAACTTTGGAAGTGTTGGAGGGCACTGATGAGGACTTTGCAGCAAATGCTTGTTTTTAGTGTTCTCATCTTTCATATAAAATTGCTACCAAGTGCCTACAGCTACTTTGACTGATTTCTAGGCCTAATTTTGAATGCTATACTACATTCTTTAACCCTGAACTGTGAGGAGAACATTCTTGGCATTTTATTGTATTTACCATTGATCATAGTCTGAAGACAAAACTTGATGTTGTTATTCTTGAATGCTCAGGGAATCTGTAGTCTATCCTTCACTGAGATGTTTCAGTGCTACATTTAAATGTTCTTTTCTTCGATTGCTGTTGGGCCACCAGGGGAGCTCACAGACAGCATCTGCAGATCCAGGCACTTTGCAAATGTTTGTAGTTCCATCAGTAAATCCTGACTCCTGCTACTGTTTCTCTTCAGACATTAAAACCAACATAACTCATGATACTTCATATTACATCCATGGACCTACAAACAAATTACTTTGTTTTTTTAGCTAACTACATTTGTATGTGTATTCAAAATGCACTCAGTACTAGATTATCATTTGAATGTGGCATGATTTTCTGAAAAACTAAAATAGTTATTATATGCTATGACTTAAAAAGCTCAAGGAAGTGTTCAAATTAAAGCTCTTTAGAGAAATGCTTCCTATTTCAAAGCAGTGAAATATCATTTCAACCTCACACCAGTCTGAACACGTCATTTCCTTCCAAAATTACAAGTTTAAAACAGTGGTTTGGAAAAAAATGCAGGAAAAAAAACAAAGCAAAACACCACCACAACAGACATTAATTCATCACAAGTGCAGTGGGAAGTCTTCCTTTCTGCTTTTCTGATTTCAGCAGTTTCCTTCACTCTGCTGAGCCATTCCTGTGATGGTAGTGTTAATGTATAGTTTCTGAACACAACTGTTCAGTTTCCTCGTGCATTCTGGATGACATGACTGACCATGGAGTACACCAAGTCTCTTTTTCTTAGCAGCTGTCCTTGCAGTATTCAGTGAGTTTAAGTGCTGTTTTAAATTATATTTGGAGAAAAAAGGGCTATGTCTGGAACATATAACCATTTTGAAGGTCAGCAAACAGACACTACTTTAGCCAGGTTTGTTTCAGTGCCAGGACAAGGGGCAGTGGGCACACACTGGAGCACAGGAGGTTCCCTCTGAACACCAGGCAGCACTTCTGTGCTGTGCAGGTGCTGAGCACTGGCACAGGATGCCCAGAGAGATTGTGGACTCTCCTTGGAGATCTTCAAAAGCTGCTTGAACATGGTCCTGGGCAGAAGGCTCTAGGTGGCCCTGCTTACACAGGGAGGTTGGAGCAGATGACCTCCAAAGGTCCCTTCCAACTTCAGCTACTTTGTGAAAACTAAAAAGTGTTTGGCTAAGCAGCACAAGACATCTAAATGAGGAAAACAGTTCCAATATAAGGGAACTGAATGAGTTCTGCAGTCCTAACACCATCCTGATAACAATCAGTAGACTAAATGTCAAACTAGACAACTTCAAAAACCGCTAAGAACACAACTTAGCCCCAGAAGGTGCATTTGGTCTCGTGTTTCTATCTCAGCTTTTAGAAAAACTAACCTAAAGTAAATTGAAGCAGCACTGACTTGCTTTGTGGATTGCACCAGCCCTAATGAAGGAAAATAAATAATACTCCATCATATTAAAATCAGAATCACAAATTGGAATACTTAGTAATACGTTTCCATAAATTGTTCTTTTCAAAACACGATTGAAAGAACTGTTTAGGCACATCGCCTGACCAGGTGAGCACAATGGTATAAAGGTAAATTGTATACTAATTAGGGTCCTAAGGGCATTTTAATTCATACAGATATTAATTAGGCTTAAGGGTTTTGTTTGTTTGTTTGTTTTTTCTTAATTCACTGAATTTATGATCTTCAAGCACGCAAAAAGTAGAACAAGGTTATTTCATTTGCACTATGTACTTCTGAGAATTTTACATTATTGATTTTAGCCCAATAAACAAGCATTTGTAAGATTCCCTATATGAGTAATTTAACAGTTAATTATGCTTTTAAGTATACAATTAGGTAACCAGATATGAATTGTATGTAACAGTGCTGTGAATTTCCTGAAACATTCTTCTTTCCTCACGTAAATGTGCCAAAAAAGTCGAATGTATTTTATCTCTTTATAACTTTTTTTTTTTTCCTGAGTGCCATCAGGTAGATTTTGCTTTTAGCCTTTCACTGTTCTTAATCCAGTTAATATTAGGCACCTGTACATAAGCAAAAAAAGTAAGTCAGGCCTACAGGATAGCTGGGGAGGGACTCTAGGAAAAGAGATAACGACTTTAACCTAAAAGTGGGTAGATTTAGATTACATTTTAGGTGGAAATTCTTTACTCAGAGTGGTGAGGCACTGGAACAGGTTGCCCAGAGAAGCTTTGTTCCCTTCTCGTGTTGGAGTTGTGACTTCCCATTTCCTTCATTTTAATATTTCCTTTTCACTCTTAAAGAACAGCAAACAACTTCTTGTGCTGGGATAAAATACTTTTTTTTGGAATCTAGCCTTCTGTAGACATATTTGTGCATTGTACCTCTGCAACCACTTCCTCTTCTGGCAGGGAAAGAAAAAGTATTTTTGCCTGTATGGCAACACAACCTTTTCCGGGCCTTGCACCTCCCATCTCAGATTCTTACTGCATGCAAATGTTCCTGTTCTGTCTTGGCTGCGAAACATACACATCTCCTTGTCCTTTAGCTTGTAGCCCAAGACAATTTGCCTGATAAGAATTCTGGGAATTCAGTGGCCCAGAACAGGATCAGAAACTGAATGCAAGTTCCTGTGAGTCATGGCCTTTTGCCCAGCCTGTTAAGCTACACTGCCTGGTAACCATTAAATATTAATTATCACCTTTGCTGGGAGATGCATAATTATTGGTCATTTGGATAGGTCTCCACCAACAACGAGCTAAGGTAGGAGGGGGGACTTGGTCATTTATATACCTTACAAAGAATGAGCAGGAAGACAGTCTATGTCCCACTGACCCGGCTACGTTTTACAGTCTTTAGTTTACACAGAAATAACAGAGATCTTGTGATCTGAAAGCGCTGACATGTAGGAATGGAACTCTGACCTCCAGCAGTCCTGTCCCCTGCAAAGAACAGAAGAGCACTTACTCCAGCCCGTGAAATGCACAAATCTTAGGCAAGACTGCAGTTCAATTCTTGCACCACGAATATGTAAAATTAAAGGTAATGCTATATAGGGAGATATAAAGAAGAGTAAATCTTGTATAAAAAACAGCTTCAAAGGTCAAAGATGTGCTGTCCTGAACTAAGCATAATTTTTGGATCAGCATTAGTTAATTAATAATCTTATGTATTATTTAAACTCATATAGTCAGTGAGTGCTGCATAAATATCCAAGTTTTCAGAGGAGTACAAGTGACAACACACTACCAAGCAGAGAGCTTAAGATTCTCTAACTACCAATTCTTCCCTTGAAGAATACCTAGTTAATTATTATCATTCATGCAAATAGAGCAAAGCCAGACTGACGACTTTCATTCATTCGAACATGCAAAAACAGAGGTGAACATTCCTGTCACAAAGCTATCCAGGTAAGAGATTTGCCTCCCCTCCCACACCTCTGAACTCAGGATTTGTTTGTTCTTTGCCTGTTTGCCTGTGGCACCTTTGAAAGGTGCCAAACTGCCTCTTTCCAGTTATTTTCCAACAACTGGTGCTGTTTTGCAAGTTTCGCCTTTATTTTGTGCTTCAAAAATTTTGCTTAGAAGGTTGCTACTGGGCCGAAGTTTTTAAAACACGTAGTCTGCAACTGCAGCAAAAGTAATCTTTCCTACTAACCTGGTCTTAGAGTTTAAGATAAGGCATTTGGCTTGTTTTTATCTGTACTTATGAAGTACTACATGAGTTTTATCTGTTTCTCAGTGTTATTATTAAAACTGAACATTTTCAAAGTGATTAAATATGAGAGAGAGAGACAAAAAGTATTGTCCTTATTGCTTGTACTAAACCTGAGATAAACCCTGAAAGTATCAGGGGAAAAAACAAAACAAAACAAAACAAAACAAAAACCAAGAATGATATACCTATTTATTTTTTTCTACAGCAGTTTAAAGTGGCTACACAGCCATGGAACAGGCATCCAGCAAAAGCACAGGGCAGCACAACACAGTTTACTGTTTAGCACTGCGACTGATGACTAAGGTCTTGGAGAGCTGTCTTGAAAGACATTTTAAAAAAGCAGACTTTCACCTTGTACCAGCAACCTTTCCAAGGCAAGAAGCCTGATTTTTAGGAATGTTCTTTGGTCCTGCAGAAAATGTTTCTTTGGCAGTCATGCCCTAAGACTCTCCAGAAAAAATAACATAGTCTTGCCTTCAAGTGCCTGCCTGTGTGTTGACCAGCATGTTCTGGAGCCTCTGAGCAAAAACAGTCCCCAGAGAACTACCTGATCATTTATTTACATGGTCTGATCATTCCCACAGTGATCTGATGGGCCTTCCTTAACAACAGCTGCTGGCTGAATGTATGATTTCTCTTTCAGCCTGCCTATATCACCTCTGGGACTGTTACCTGCCAGTGGCAGTCTTCTTACTCACTGGGACACTGGACTGAGAATCCTCTGGGGAAATACGAATTGAATCAAAGACAATCATAAATCTGTCACTATTTCTTAAGCTGAACCAAGTGCATTTGAAAAGGAGCTTAATTTGCCTTGGAAATATTAGTTTTACAGCTAGAAGTAAAAGCTGTGGTTGAGATTTCAGTTAGAAATACGTAACTCTGAAAGACTGATTGACTCTCAGAATAACTCCTTAGCATGAGCAGCATTAGTCTTTAAGTCTGTTAGACTAACACTATTAGACAAATACTCTGACTTCCCTGACTCAGTAAACTGTAATATTTTTTCCTCTTCAATTTCAGATGAGCATAATGTTGAAAAAAGAGAAAATGCTTTTAAGCTACATTATTTTGCCCAGATAATCAAAATATACTGAGCTCATCTAGTTTCACCTGATTTTCCTCAAAAGCACTCCAACATTCTGTCTACAGCCTGAAAGTTTGCTAGGCCAGTGCTTAAATAAATGGATTTGGTTGCTGGAACCTTGCTTAAGTTTGCTTCCAGGTACATTTGGCTCCTGGCGATCTAAAGCTGAAAGCATAACTGCTTATGCAAGACAGAGAAACATTCATTTCACCTTTTCTATTTTGTTGCTTGATCCTTTCTAAAACTCACCTCATCGACATTTCCAAGTAATTCTGCACAGTAAGATTAATAAATCAAAGCAGTAGGTGCCAAAGTAGTATTATACTATAAGCAATTCAGTTTTTTTTTCTTCAGACTACTCCAGTCCTGCAAACTAATCGTCTTCACCACATCTATTCAAATCTATCCGAAGAACCAATTTCTGGCTTAGGCTTTTGTGTCACCATAAAGGGTCAGAATGCACTGGGGAAGAGCTTCTGGGTATTTTCCTTTGAAAAAAGTCTGGTTTGCATGCATAGCACTCCTCTCTATTTTGAATCTATGCACAGTAAATGAGCCCATTAGATATTTTTTTTCAAAAATGTGTTAATGCTTAAAAGAAGAACAGTAATGTAGTCATAGCCATTAGAGATCAAGAGAGGCTTCTTACAGGCAGAAAAGGTTGCTGATATGAAAGGCAAGTAAGTAACATGAACAGTTTAGCTCAACACCCACAGGTGTTTTAAATCAAATGCTCAGCTTAACTGAGGTGTCTCATTTTTTTTTTGTGATTTGTGCAACAAAAATTTAATGAAATTTCAGATCATAAACGCAAACCTTGCTCCACCCACATTACTTTTTAGCTGACTTTTCATAATTCAAACACTGAAAAAACTTCAAGCACTTGGCTCACACTGTATGAAGGGTTCCATCCCACCTTACACTTGCAATCACTATTACAGCAAGACAGGAGTGATGCTAGCACAAAGCTGTAATACACAGTCTGATTTCTGTCCCCAAAATAGCATTTCTGAGATCTCCTTAGCATAGAAAGGCAGGCTTATCCTACTTTTCCCTCTTATGCTTTTCAGATACAAAGCTTCAGATTTTTTGACGGAGACAAAAGGATGCATCAGGACATTTTTTTTTTTTTTTTTGCTTGTGCTGTTTTGCAGAAAACAACTCAGCCAGGAAGAATAGTTACATGTGTCCCAGCAGGGACTGCCTGTTGGGGAATCTGCCAAGAGAATTCCCATTGAACATGTTGTGATGAATGTTTTCTCCCATGGAGAGAGCTTTTGTCAGTTCTATGGCATGGTGAAAAGACAGGAAGAAAGGGGGGACTAAGGCCAGCTGGAAAATTGGTAGTTTGTTTGGCTTGAATTGTTCCTTGCTTTCTGTCACTATTTCTCCAGATGAACCAAGTCATTGAATTTAACCTGATCAAATAAGTGGTTAAGGGCTCAAACTGAAAAAAATATGCTTTCTACTCACATGCTCATGGACAATGTGAAAAAACTTAGCCTTTAATATTCCAAACATCAAAATGCAATTAAAAATAACCCAGACTACTTCTCATTGTAATGATATGGATGGCACATTTGTGTGTGCATGTAGCTTTCACCATGATTAAACAGTTGAGGATGTCCCAGTATCAAAGTCAAATACTGTATGGTAGACATGTTCTGTGCTATATGTTGCTTCATCTGTGTGTTCCTACTATGAACAGATCTTTTAGCAAGTGATGGGAAACCTCCACTTGAATAAATGGCAAATACTGTGCTCTGTAAAGTTCTGAGGTATGAGGGGAAGCTGGAAATGTGTTATCCCTGTTCCTACATACCAATGAGCATGGGCAGAGGTGAAAATGGGTCAGCTTGGCAAAACAGTAGAGAAATCTGTTCAATGACAGCCTGAGGGTTCCTGAATACTGCCTGTGTGCTACCACTGTGGCAGGACAGCATGGTATATCAGCACCAGAATCAGCAGGACAGAGTCTACTCATGTGCACAAGAAAAGGCAGATTTGCTCTTCACTCTCCTGTCTTTGGAGGTGGCAAGAGCATTGGAAGCTCCCAGCTCCCTGCCAGGCTGCACAAAGGTATGGGTGATAGCACAGAACCACAGTGGAATTTTCCTTCATTTCCTTCTGGTGAAGCAACTAAATTATTACTGAGCTACAGGCAACACAGTCTAAAAATCCTTGGTTTACTCAGCTGAAAAATGTTTTGCTGGGAACAACGTCCCCTCTATTATTTGCTGTGGATTTATTATGTTGTTCTAAAACGTCAATTAAGCTGTAAACATTGACAGTACCTGCCAAAAATGGAAACCAATAATATCTCATTGTAGAGCTGAGTACTTTACAGCTAGCATGTTCATTTGTCATAGAATTTGGAAAATGTATCTAGAAGAAGAAATTGTTATTTACAAGAAGGAAGCCCTTATTTTCAGGAAGAAAAAAAAAAATGAAGAAAAGGACCTCCTGTCAGCATTTGTCTGTGTTTCACCTTGGGCACATTCTTCCATCAGAAAGGGTTTTTGACCTTTGGCTAAAATGCATCAAAACTGCTGAAAATATATATATGTTATCAAACTAGCTTTTTTCTTAGCTTTTACGACAACTACCATTCTGATTATGCAGCAGCCCAGATACCATACACATTATTCAGTACATCCCAGACATATTACAAAATTATCACTCATATACAAGATCTCTTAACAGATTTTCTAGAGAAATTATATTCTTATATATTAAAAAATACCATCAACCCTCAGGATCAAGCTTCACAGATTATGCATATGTATTATTATTTTAATATAAATTTATTTGTAAGTAAATTGCTTGAATTTAGAGAAAGGCAGGCAGCATCTGTACAATTAAATACCTAAGCCTATAGTAGAGAAGCCAATTAAATCTTTTTTTTGTGTAGCCTATCAAAAGCAACCATTGGATATTGAACCGCCCACTGGCTTGTAACTATGTAAAACAAGGCCACTACATTTATTTCTTGGCTGTCTGAATTCATTTGGCTGTAAAGAAGTAGGTGGCATTTAAATAGGACTTGCTGTCCTCAAGTACAAGCCTCTCGTTCTCTGAGCTAATTTAGGTAAGACAGGAAATGTTTGTTTTTTGCATCTTAAAAAAATGAACGTCTTTATCACAGTTTCTAGCATATAGTATTTGGTAAGCTTTAATCATATGCTCTGAAGGTTTTTTTTTGGTTCTGTAACTTCTTTCTTTTCTCTCACCTTTGCATTCTAACAGAGGCTAGATCCAACCTATTTGCGGTCCAGGCACGTCTTGCCTAGCATAACTCTCAGTACATTAGAGTCCAAAGTAAGTTTGACAATACAAGTAAAAATAGCCATCAATCTTCCTAAATAATTACATTAAAATTATAATTAGCTTTCCTTTATGAAGGAAAGAAACTGTAACAAAGAAATGTACACAGTGGGAGTTAAAAAACATTTAATGTAATTGGGATGGATAGGAATCTACTAATATTTTAAAATGTATTTACACTACTAGGCAGGCCATTAAAAGTTTGGACAATCAGTCCACACATCTCCAACAAGAATCTCTTCTCTGCCTTATACTGTATTATGATTTACGTACCTGAAGCACTTAAGCACTCTGTTTCAAGCTGAAGTTAAACTCTGGTTGGCCTCAGAAATTACATTATGTCATTTGAAACAATACTTGGGACATTTTTGAAGATTTTTGCTGTAGCTACATACACATAGTTAAGAATTGTTTTTTTTTTCAATTTGCTGACAGAAGGGATCTGTTAAAATCTAGAAAAAAGTTCATAAGCAGGATAGACAACCTAAGGAGACAGAAAATACTTTATAATGAGCTTCTTCCTTTAGGGGTGCCCATCACATTACACACTTACAGACTGTTGGCAATGTATTCCTTTGTTTATCAATCATATTCCTAGTTGGGCTCATAAGCTTATTGAGCTTTCTCACCACTCTTTAGCTGAATGTTACCAACCACAAATACATTTAAATATTCTTCCTAAGAACAACAACAAAAAAGTATGAAGTTTACCCAGGGAAAGATGACTCACATCACTGTAGTCTAAACTTAATTGTTAACATCATTAAAATATATCAAAAGAATACTGTGCCAGTGAGTGACTTCAATTTTGAGGAAACTGAAGAGTATGGCTTCTGTCTCTAGATGCTGAAGGAGTTAAAAAACAGCTTCAGCTTTTGGGTTAGCACAAGCTTTGACATTTTATTGTAATGTCATACCTGGCATCAAAAAGCTTTGTCATCATAGCTATTCAGTAAGTTTTTCCACCATTTCTCTTAACTGAGACACAACTTGCACCACAGAAGAACCTGTCAAACCTCAAACTTATACTTTTGCTGGTAGCAGCTTTACAGGTTATTGTCTATATTGGTGGTTTTGCTTCATGATTTTTTTTTCACACTCTCTTCACAACCATGCCAGCAAAGATTCTGAACAGCGGTTTCAGAACAAGTCTGAAAATATGTTAATTAGAGTCGTCAAAAAGATAAGATTTATATTATCAAAAATAAAAGCATTTCCATTGTCACTTCTGCAGAACTTAGGGGACTTCCACTTCACTGTGATGTGCAGGTGAATTCTGTTACCTGGACATGTGAATTGAGAGCTTTTAATAGCAGCGATGGTGTATCTGGAATTCCAAAGACACAAGAAAAGCAAAATTTTTAGGGGGATGAAATATTTTGCAAAAAGCAAAAGTGCTTTTGAGCAGGAACCCTTCTTTGTTAAAATGAGACAAAACATCTAATACTTGCACAATTTAGGTACTGGAATAAGGTGCTTTTGAAAAACCTAAACAGCGCTAATTCACACTTTGATTTGCTTAGTTAACTCTGACAATCAGGCTCCAAAATTATTCATTTAACTAAGTAACTGCAGTCAATTATTTGCTTCTTTTATTATTAAGTCAAAATACTGAAAATATTTTGGAATACCAGACCAGCCAAGGGCTCTAGCCATGGTGTTAGAATAGTGCTGCAGAGACCCTGGCTGTTTATTGTAATGTGAGAGGCTGGGCGTGGGAAATTCTTCCTTCCTAGATTCTGCATATTGTTCACAGCATCGCATACTCTCTTCTTCCAGGTCAATACGAGGCATTCCTTATCTACCTGTACTAATATATATGCATCCACTTTTGCCAATCTTCTCTCTTTCCACTGTGAACCAGATGACAAGACTTGCCACTTGGCATAGTATTTTTGACATTTTCCACCTTCCTGCTCCTTTCTGTATTTTTAAAGTGTTTAAGGTCAGGCATTTTTATGTGACATTGTTTGGCCTCTCAGTCACATCCCTCCCTGCCCCCAAATGACATATGAAAGCACTAAGCTAATTTCAACTTAATTCGACAATCAAGCAAAAATGCAGAGATCTGAGCTAGCCAAAAACAGTTGTGTTCGGAAGGGCAACAGATACCAAAAGCACCTCCATCTGGAGAAGACAAATTTTCCCATCCTTTATGTATCAGAAAATGCAATGCAGAAGACCCATAGGAAGAAAAAAAAAATTAGTTCTGCAGCCCACAGAGTGAAGTACTTGGTATATGTTATTCCCTGGAGAGCAAAGCTAGGTAAACTATGACTTTAAAACCTGAAAATAGTAATGTGTAGCACTCTTCTGAGATGGCGACAGACTTGATTATGCAGCATGGTCCACAGGTTGCCAAAGCAGTATTTCTAAGGAGCTGTTTGTTAATTAATGAGGCTGCATATCAAAGCAGCCTACAATTCAACATGTTTATGTTACATAGCAATTAATAACATAAGGCACAACTTCTAACCATCAGCAGTTTGTGCATTTTTTTTTTTGCCTAAGACTAAGGATTAACGCTGCCTAGGAAACACTGCTTTACGAGTTCTGCTACCAAAATCCATCTCCTGTGCACCGAGGACATCTGCAGTGGCATACCACTATATCACATGTGAATTCCACATCAATGCCTACAGAAATGCTATTAAAAAGTCCACAGCCTACCTCATTACTGTATGTTTTACTATATGCTTGTTTCACTCCATCAAGTGCTGCTTCTGATGACAGAAACCTCTATAATGCAGCATCTGGAAGAGCTGTTGTACAACAAGATAACTATTTTAACTCCTCTTTTCCTTGGTAAAACAAATTGGATTTGATCTAAGGCAAACATAAGGGTTTACAGGAAAGGACTCAATTTGCAGATTTCTTTTGTGTTATATGCCCGGTCACTGTAGTCCTGTGTCGGTATGATGCCTCCTTAAATGCTTCCTTAAAAGGTGACAAACTCATCATTATGCATCTGTGCTAAAAACAAACAAGCAAACAAAAAAATAAGCAAACAACAACAAAAAAAAAAACCACTTCACAGGTTGCAACCTAACAGGTATTGTTTCACACTGCAGGAACAGATACGTGAAGTAAACACCGCGACAATGGAAAGACCACTTGAGGCTACCAGGATGGAAAAAAACACTTCCTGCTTTCTCATGGAAAGAAAGACTCGTGTGAAGACCAGTAGGAAAGAGATTGTGCTAGCCAAGCTGAGGAAGAGCTGCTCCTGCTCTCCAAGGAAACTGAAGAACTTCGTCATGGACTTCCTTCCAGTTTTACGATGGCTCCCCAAGTACCAGTGCAAAGAGTACATCTGGGGGGACGTTATGTCTGGGTTAGTGATTGGGATCATCCTGGTGCCCCAAGCAATTGCGTACTCACTCCTGGCCGGTCTGAAGCCCATTTACAGCCTTTACACATCATTCTTTGCCAACATCATCTACTTCTTGATGGGCACATCCCGTCACGTCTCCGTGGGCATTTTCAGCCTGATAAGCCTAATGGTAGGACAAGTTGTGGACCGAGAACTTATCTTGGCTGGGTTCGACTTGAATGATGATGCCCCACCAGTCTTGGGTGACGGCTCCCTGCAGAGTGACGGCCAGCCCAACACAACTGCCTTCAACCTGACCGCGGCGGGGATGAGTGCCGCGTGTGGCAAGGAGTGCTACGCTATCGGCATTGCCACAGCCCTGACATTTGTGGCTGGAGTCTACCAGGTAAGTGGGTGCTGACATCCAGAGGCAAGGTATGAAAGTCCTAAAGCTCTCTTGCATGACCTAGGTGTTGGTTTGACTCTCCTTCGATGAGAGATACAGCATCATTTCCTTCAAATGATCTTGGACTGTCTTCTCCAGGAAGCCTAACTGAGTAACCAGCTCACAGAAAACATGACATAGGCAGTTTAGTATCTAAAAGCAAGTACAAGTCAAACAACAGTCTTCTGCAAGTCTGATAACACTGTCTTAACACTCTACTGGTTGTTGGCCATGAATCCAAAACAGATCTCATCATGAGGGAAGTTCTGAGGTACCTGTGTACTTCAGCAATGAAGAAATAGAGAAACTAGAATAGAGGTCTTAGCTGTTGTCACTCAAGTCCTGTTCATAAAGCAATGGCTGTAAATTGTAATTGTAATTGCTGCTAGCCAGGAGGAAAAGAAAATTCATATTAACAGAAGCACTTCTGGATCCACTGCTCTTTTGCATGGGAAATAAAATTGAGACAAGTCACTTTAATGGAGTTCTTTCAGACCAACGATGAAGTTAGGGAACTCCTCGTTCATCTCCTGGGTTTGCACACACAACAGCAAAAGGAATCATACTTTATAAGTAGAAACATCGAAGGGTAGTTCCTGTTTTAAGATTCAAGCAGCCAAATGTTATCTCCCTCCAGCTACTTAACTCCCATCTGTAAATAATTGTTTGCAGTACCATTTACAGCTTACCTCTTTTTTTTTATTTTTTTTTCCCCCCGTGTTTCTCCAGGTTCTAATGGGAGTCTTTCGTCTGGGCTTTGTATCTATGTACCTGTCTGAGTCTGTGCTAGACGGCTTTGCAACTGGTGCCTCCCTGACCATTTTAACAGCTCAAGTGAAGTATCTGATCGGAATAAAAATCCCACGTAGCCAAGGGCACGGCATGCTTGTAATTACTTGGATTAATATTTTCCGGAACATTTCTCAGGCTAACATTTGCGATGTCATCACAAGTGCCATTTGCATTGTAGTGCTGGTCGCTGCTAAAGAACTGGGAGATCGGTACAAGCATAAGCTGAAGTTCCCTCTGCCCACAGAGCTTGTGGTTATTGTTGTGGCAACGCTGGTGTCACACTACGGAAACTTAAATGAAGTTTATGGATCCAGTGTTTCTGGAGCTATTCCGACGGGATTTATCGCCCCCGAGGTCCCACGTTTCAACTTAATGCTCCGTGTTGCTGTAGATGCTTTACCTCTCGCTGTGGTCAGCTTTGTCTTCACCGTCTCCCTTTCTGAAATGTGTGCAAAGAAATACGCTTACACCATCCGGGCCAACCAGGAGATGTTTGCCGTGGGGTTCTGCAACATCATCCCTTCTTTCTTCCACTCTTTCGCAACTAGCGCGGCTCTGGCGAAAACTCTCGTCAAGACATCTACCGGCTGCCAGACTCAGGTCTCCGGGGTGATCAGTGCCATGGTGGTTTTGCTGGTGCTGCTCTTCTTGGCCCCTCTCTTCTACTCCTTGCAGAAGTGCGTCCTGGCTTGCATCATCATTGTCAGCCTCCGAGGAGCCCTGAGGAAATTCCGCGATGTGCCGGCACGGTACCACGCGAACAAGGTGGACACGGTGGTTTGGGTGGTGACTATGGCTGCCTCTGCCTTGGTCAGCACAGAAGTTGGGCTGCTGGTTGGTATTGTCTTCTCCATGATTTGCATCATTGTTCGGACACAGCGGCCACGGGCAGCCCTGCTCGCTCAAATCCAAGACACCAGCTTCTATGAGGATGACTTGGAATATGAAAACCTCTCCTCCATTCCAAAGGTCAAAATATTCAGATTTGAGGCACCACTTTACTATGCAAACAGGAACTATTTCCTAAAGTCTCTGTACAGACTGACTGGCTTAGACCCTAACCTAGAAGTGGCTAGAAGGAAGAAATATGAGAAGAAGGAAAAGCAGCATGTGAAAAAGGAAGATCACACAACTGCTAATGGACTGGGCGGCGGAGACACCACCCTGCAGCTAGTTCCTAAGCAAATCGATTTCCACACTCTTATTGTGGATTGCTCTTGCATCGCATTTTTGGACACCACTGGAGTTAATACTCTAAAGGAAATTCTGAAAGACTACAAGGAGTTAAACATTTCTGTTCTTCTGGCTTGCTGCAATCCCGCAGTGATAGACTCCCTGAAAAGAGGAGGCTACTTTGGGAAAGATTGTGGAAGCATGCAGGAAATGCTCTTCTACAGCATACACAACGCCGTGCAGTTTGCACAAGACCAAAAGCTTGCGGAAGATTGTTCTGTTTAATCCTGTGTTTCCCCTGATGATACACTTCAAAAGTGACAGATGGGGAGGGGCAGTTTGCAATAGTTAAATTATCAGACATGCTGTGGTCCGTGTACAGCAACGGGCCTACAAATCATTTTTTCCTGAAGAGTTCTGTGGTTTGCTAGACGCTACATAGAACAGTCATTGGGGATATCGTCCAGGACCAGGCTGGAACAGATTGGATCACTATCTGCATCTTCACTGCAGCATGCAGGTGATGTGAAGGTGCTGTGAAGTCAATCTTCAGGGCACCTTGGGACTGATTTCCTCCCTTTGTCCTCACCGTGTGTGACCAAATGTATGTACCGTGAGACTGTTGTGCTGGGAAGTCTGCCCAGTGCCAGCTGCCTCTCCCAGCGGCTAATGGCTGGGTTTATTAAGAGGGATGAGCCATCTTCAAAAAAATGCAATGAATCTATCATCTGGGACACATAACAGTGTACGTGGCTTGCAAGGCCCTGCCTCTTCACTCATTCCAGACATGCTCCGATGCAACTGCTACTGTTTGCATACAAATAACATCTATAAAATATTGTGGGATGTATTATGTCTCTCCTCGTCGCTTTGATTGCACGGGCTTAATGACACAACCTGCCACACGAGAAGAAACCATGATTCACCACAAATTCCTCTCAAAACCATCTCCTCCAAAACAAACTCCTGGAGTCATCTGTATTATTAATTTCAGTGTGGGGTAATTAGTTACTAAAAGTTTTGATACCTTTAATAATGCAGAAAAAAAAAAACATGACCCTGATGAACAATTTTGTTGTTACTAGTAGAACAGGATAAATGTGATTAATAAAACAGAATGGCTTTGACTGACAATCATACAGTTACTGTAGTAGTAGTACCATCCTGTCAAAATGTGTTGCCTCTGTTGGGTAGATTCAGCTTTAATATAAGGATGAATAAGGATCACTGAATATAAACCCCAGTACTGTGCCACAGCATGACATGTTCCCACTACAACTGCCTGCATGGGTGCGAGGGCAGGAGAAGAAAACAAGAGGGTAGGGTGGGAAGGTAAGTCTGATCTGCCAAGGAGAGGAGCGATGCATTGCACAAAAATGATCACATAAAAAAAAAAAAAAAGATCACATAAAAAAGCTTGTCTTCTCTGATGCAATGCTAATGAAGTTTTACAGTAGCACACCTGGGCCAAGTGAAGTGAACAATGCTTTGCAAGCTGTGTATCCCCATGTGCTAGAAAAATCTCACCACTGTTTGTACATAATACACTTTTTTTTTCTCCCTACCATGTTAGTCTTTGATTAGAGGTCCAATAACCCATGTTTTACTGAAATGGGTTACTTTTTAATAATAATTTGCATTAACAGCTGTTCGTTCTGCATTGTGTCAAATGATACCCTTGGAGTCATTTTTCTTGTTTTATATACATGCTCTCTCTTCACAAATACGCACACACCTAGATTTTGACTGCATCACTGTTGGTACTTAGTATTCTAGCATATGGCATTGGCAGAATACCCTCTCTTACATCTAAGCTCATAATTACCTGCATAAAAGTTAGGTCAGGTGCCCTAACTTTCTCTTAGTCATGGCTGGTTCACACATGGAACAACGCATGGAAGGAAACTGTCACAGCTGTGCCTTGTACACTTAGCAGACTCTAGGAATAAGGTCTATATATGCTGAAGCCATTTCTCTGCTGTGTCATTTAAAAAAAATTGCTGAGCCAACACATCATGTGACTTGCTTATTTCAACTTTTCGGGTCACTGAGTGAAAGAACACTCAAACCGAGGTTCTCCAGGTGCCCCAGAGCCTTTCTGGCTCTCAGGAACAAATATTTCATTAAAGGAAAAGCAATGCATTCCCAAAAGACAAAATAAAAAATGTCTTCACAGGGATTGAGAACAGCACAGAATTTGGTAGGTGACTCAACGCTGACATTCTTATGTGCTCATTACAAAACTGCGTATCAGCTGCACAGTTAGCAGTGCCAGGGCAGTAAAACCTGACAGAAATGCCTATCGAGAGATTACAGGATTGACCACTGGCAGTGTTTTGATGCCATAAAACAATTTAATTCCATAATTCTTTAAAGTGCTGACTTGGTACGACAAGCTTATTTCTATCATAAAAGCAAATGAGCAGAGCCCAAGGACAAAGTGCTGCTTTGTGTCTGGTTTTCTTTGTAACAATTCTTTGATCAGGGAGTACCCCTTCTAAAGTCTTGCCAGGACCTCACATGAGGAAGTGGGTTCACAGGAATTACTGTAAACAATTAGTATCCATACAGACACTCTTAGGCTGCTGTGACAAGCATCACAGCATCCAGTGCTGGAAGTCAACCTAAATTGCTTCAGTCCAAAACCCTTTTATCTTTATGGGTCAAACTACCAACTAGGAACAAAAGGAAAAAATACCTTTAACTCTAGATTAATCTTAAAAAAAAAAAAAAAAAAAAAAAAAAAAAAAAAAAAAAAAGAGCAACTCGTAAGGAAGGTGTATCCTTGCAACAGTTTTTGAAGAAAAATGAACAGAAGCTGCCCTGGCAGTCTTTCTTACCCATCAGACTGAGAAATTTAGTCAAGAGTCTCTTTTATTTTTTTTAATCCTACTTATTGTAGGAAAAAAACAGCAAAGCAGGGAAACTATTCTATGCATAACAGAGGGGATGAGCTTTTAGTCTTTTGCTAGGAGGAACCTACCAACCACCAGAAACCAAAAGAACCACTGTCTGTTTCAGTTTCATTGACAGATCTGGCTCACAATCAAGTTGTGTTGGACAACATCAAACACAGCAGGGAAACAGCTTTCAGCCTTCTGATGTAGGGACACTGGGAGGTTGTGAACTATTTCTGAGTATGCAAAAGGTAACTAAAAACGTACACCTTTTGTTCTGGCAGGTTAATGTTTGCTATACTACGTTACACCAAGATTATGTGTATGACGACTGAAAATGTTAAAAACTGCTGATTCTCTTCTCTCCTGTGGTACCAGGAATTATGTACTGGGACTTGGGAGAGGAGCTGGGGATAGTCTTGTAATTACAAATAGGTTAATGTTAATTTTGAAATAAAATTGTTATATGTCTATTAGAAAACATTATATCCATTGTGTACATTAACTATATTTTTTGTCCACTGTGGTGCCTTGCATACATAATGTATCCAACAAATTTTAGTACTGCTACACAACAATAAAAAAGGGACCTTCACCTGGGGACAGTCTGGGTCCCATGGAGCTGGGCATAGAGTTGGGAGCATTTACCTTAAGCTCTCCTGTTGATGAGTGCAGGATGGCCAGACTATGTGGCCACCAAAATAGCTACATTTATTGGCACTGGTAAATAACAACCTTGGAATTGTCCAGTCCATGGAAGAAACCTTGGGTTCCCCATTACCCTGAATCCTGTGTGGCATGACCTGGAGACAAATGTGTGCTTTTGGTTGGAAAATAAAACTAGCAGTTCTTTGAAAACAGCCTGACTCGTGGTATCCTTTCACGGGTGGTAAAGTAACAGGATAACGTGCAATAAAGTGGAAGATAAGAGGCAGGCCTGGTGTCCTAGAAAAGGGTTAAAATACAGGGATGCATTCAGTATCGAGTCATTTATTATTAGAAGGCATAATGAGGAAGATGATTACAGAAGTGAAAAAGGAAAAAGTAGAAGTCTTCTAAGTGGACACATCTACTTTTGGGGAGGAACATTTTAGGCACCTTTTTGCAGTACCACTGGGAAGAAAAGCAATGCATGTTACTGGCAGCCTTCCACAGTGGTGATACCTCCCAGCCCACTGTTTTCCATACGGAAGGTACTTCAGTCAAGTCCCTACCATCATCTTTCAATAAGTCCTCTCTATTCACCAACCTCACAACATAATACAGCTTTGCTGTCATGGGGTTCTTACCCAAAACCTCTCTACATCCTTCTGGAAGTCAGTGGTTCAGAAAAAGAACTGCACATGCACAGAATCAAGCGTCAACACAGAACTCTTCCCATCCAAACCTATGTACACCCGAATACCTAGGAGGAAAACCTCTCCTGTTCCTAATGCACACTCTGAAACCCACTACTGCTCTGCTCACGTCCCTTTTTTCAGAGTCTGAGCTGTCCTTCATCTTGTTGCTTCTCCAAACTTATGACTGGTAAACTCTTATTTTCCTGTGCGAGGTACAGGAGATGTAATAGTGACATGGGTTGTCATGATAAATATGGCCAGCTTAGCAACAGCCTAAGGCTGAAATTTAAGAGCTATTATTGCTTTGAATGCCGTTGTTTTTTTGTTGGTGGTTTTTGTTTTGCTTTGTTTTGTTTTGTTTTTCCCCACGGTTTGTATTTCCTCCTAGACCAATCAATCCTGTTCTAGGCCTCTTCCCCTGCCACCCCACCTGCCTCATTCCCCCCAGGGACATAAAATCATAGAAAAATATAATGTCTGGAGCTGGAAGGAACCTTAAAGAACGTTTAACACAACCCAGCCGTGATCTGGGACATCTTTCACTACACCAAGCTGCTCAGAGCCGTGTACTCAACCTGACTTTGAACACTTCCAATGCAAGTGAACTACAGTTCCATTACTCCTTGTCCCATCACTACAATCCCCAACAAGGAGTCCCTTCTGTAAGCCCCTGTTAGGCACTGTAAGGCCACTATAAGTTCTGCCCAGAGCCTTCTCTTCTCCAGGCTGAATGACCCCAGCTCTCTCAGCCTTTCTTCACAGGAGAGGTGCTCCAGTCCTCAGGTCAGCCTTGTGGCACTCCTCTGGACATACTCTAACAGAGCTACATCCTTCTTGTGCTGGAGGCCCCAGAGCCTGGCTGCACCCTCACAAGAGCAGAACAGAGAGGGACAATCACCTCCCTTCGACCTGTTGGCCGTGCTTCTTTTGATGCAGCCCAGAATAAAGTTGGAATTCTGGGCTGCAAGCACATAAGCACATGCTGAGAGTTCATGTCGAGCTCATTGTACACCAGTGCCCCCTGGTCCTCCTCAGGGCTGCTCTCAATCCATTCATCACCCAGTCTGTACTGTTCCTGGTGATTGCCCCAGCCCAGGTGCAGCACCTTGTGCTTGGCCTTGCTGAGCTCCATGAGGCTCCCACACAGGCCCACTTTTCAAACCTGTCGAGATCCATCTGGATGGCATCCTTTCCCTCTAGTGTATCAACTGCACAACTCCACTTGATGTCAGCCTCACACTTGATGAAGGTGCACTCGGTCTGTGCCATTAAGAAAGGTATTAAATAGTATCAGTCCTCGCCTGGACCCTTGACAGACACTGCTTACTGCAGGTTTCCAGGAGGATCTATATTCCGTGACCTGACTTGGTCAATAAGTTCCAGCATCCTCATTACCTTTTTCAAAAATGTGTGTGATATTCCCTTCTCTCCAGCCAATGGGGACTTTTCCAGACTGCCATGACTTTTCAAATACGATGGGGCAACTTAGCAACTACATCAGCCTATTCCCTCCGGGCCCTGAAAAGCATCAGGTGCCACAGACTTGCCTCTGTTCAGGTTTATCAGGTGGCCTCAAACCTGATCTTCGCTTACAATGGGAGGGACTTCATTCCCCCAGTCCCTGGCTTAGGGTTCCAGGACTTGAGAGACTTGGGAAGAGTGACTGTCAGTGAAAAGTGAGGCAAAAATTTGTCAAGGACCTCAGCCTTCTCCACCTTGGTTGTCACTACTTCTCCTGCCTTATTTATCATGGTGGGTGACACATTTCCATCAGTGTTCCCTTTCTGAGCAATGTATTGATATGAGTTGAACGGGACTTGAAAAACAAGGAATTCCAATATTGTCTTCTTAATGGTGCTATATATTTGTCTGCCCTTGAATTAGAAATTCCATTTTGTATATGAATCCTTTAGAAAGTGGGAAGGGAACTGGTATGAACAAAAGCCACAGTGTTTTAGTTGTCATTTCCTGCCACTAAACGCAGTGCATAGGTAGGTTGAGGAGATACATGTAAAAAGAAATTCCCAAGGGGATGGACACTGGAAGTAGTAATAACATAGTGTCAGATTTTATTTGGAACTCTCAAAAAAATCAGGTTTGTTTTAATCTTTGTGGGACTTTTTTGCTGTCTCCCAAACTAAAGGACAGAAATGTAAGCTACTTTCCTAGCACTGTTGATAGAATGGATAATTGCTGGCCAATTACACACTTCTCAACAAAAGCCTTGCTCAGGACAGCATTGCCACTTGAAGTGCTTTGGTAAGGAATGCACTGAATTTACGTCTATCATCATATTCTGCTCTGTTCCCAGCTTTCGCAAAAGATATAGCTACCTGTAAAGGGAGTGTTAACACTGTGACCTGAATATTAAAACCAGAGTTACAGCCAGAGGGAGCTCTAGGTACATATGCAGAGCCAGGCTGTAGGCTGAAACTGCTCTGAAAGTCTGGCTTCTCCCAGTTCCTCCTCTCAGTACTGAGTAGCTGAAAGTGTTACTGTGCTAACACCAGACTCTGAAGGAACGGCACTGATAAACCTAGTGTGTCCTGAAAACAGCAGGAGTAACTGTTGACTGAAATCTGGCTGAGTTCCCTCCATAATACTAGGCATAAATGTCCTGGCTGCAAAGCAGAAAACTTCCTTGCTTAAAGAAGCACCGGGGGGTTCCTCTAGAGTCCTGTTTTCAAGTCTGTCCCAAGCAGGATTTTAGAAAGGATGAATGCAGATAAGATATACTGTCCTATAACCTTAAAGTGTGTAATGTTCGATGAGACACACTTCTGCTGGCCTGAGGCCTCCCTGGAGGTCATGTCACAGCTGAGAATCAAGCCCCTGTGGGCTTGGGATGGCTGCAGTGGAGATGTGGAATGATTGCAGCGTGTCACCTGAGGTGGTCTTGGTAAAGCCTGAAGAGTGCACCCACAGGGTTCTTCCGATGAAAAAAAGACTCAATCTGCTCCTTAACCAGTTGTTAGGATGCAATGCATGAAAGCTAGCCATGCCTTCCTTCATCTCATATACTCCCAAATTGATTCCCCTCCACTGGCCGTTACCCGACTTCCAGGAAAGCAAAAACTTACCCAGCGTGCAGTTACCCTGTAAGATCTACCAGTGTGAGCACCCACTGGGCACTTAACGAGACAAGTATTCTTCTTGAATTTTGACATTAATTGTTTGCTTACCCGACAGCAACCAATTCCAGTAACCAGTGAATTCGAACTTGTTCAATGCCGCCATGAGGAACAGAAGAAATGTATGCCAGGTTCAGCTCTTGATCTTTGCTCAGGTCAAAGAGATCAGCACGGCTGTGAGGTAAAGGAGGGCTTTGGGAAAAGAAGGACAGAGAAGAGGAAACGTATTACAAAATCAGCTAGCAGTTCCACTGCATATCCAGAGGTTAGAAGCAGAATTATACTTTCCAAGCCTCTACATTCTTCAGCAATGCTCAAACCTCCCTAGCATACAAGGCACTTAAAAATTACTTCCTTAGGATTGCTGCAAGTCACACAAGACTGAGAAATTACTGATTTCACTCTTACTAAAAATGCTCCAGCCATTTTGGTGGTTTCGATTGTTCCAGTGGATAAGGACAATGTTAACCACTGGATTTTGAAGCAGTGCCTTATGACTCCACTAAGATTCAAACTTGGACCAATGCTCTGTTTCAGTGGCAAACTAGACAGAAATCAAGGCATAAAGCACTCACATGCTGTGTCCATGCTGAATAAGCATGCTGAAATTCATGCCCTGCTGGAGAGAAACCCCAGGACCACGACAAGATAGCACAGAATGCTGGAAAAAGTGGGGTTTTGTTACTGCTGGTACCAGTATCTGCCCTTTCCTCTTCGGAGTTTGGGAATCTCAAGCCTTGCAGTCTCTCAGCTTTTAGCGTCTGCTGCTCCCCAAGCTGCACATGTGACAAGCTCTCTGAAACTGTGATGCAGAAAGAAGCTTTAACAGCTGGGCCCCAGTTCTGTCACAGTGGGACCTTTCAAGGGAGCTGGGATCCTACAGCCAGAGATCTACCATATTTGGACCATGTGTTACACTATAATTGAATAGCTGCTGACCAGAGGCCTCTGCTTCTGCTGCTCAGCATCCTCTGTGACATCTTTCTCCCTCTTGTAGTCTGATGAAATTTCATTAATGCAATGAAAAGCATGGATGTTTCTTGGATTGAAGTTTAAATGAGAAAAACGTACTATTTAAGGCAGTATTTCATGAATGTTTCTTAAACTTGCAAGAAGAAATTAAAGACACAAGTGAAATAGCAAAAGAAAAAAATGCAGAAAGCCCTAATATTTGTCTTCACCAGAATGTATTTCAATTAATGCACTCTAGGTGCTTTTAGGGCCTGCTGTGTTTCTTCTCTAATATTTTCTTTCAAGTTTTCTGAGTTCCTTCATGTGCTATATTAAAATTTCTGTCCTAGGCACATGCTGCTGATTCCACCCCTGCTGTGACTTTTTATCCTTCACCTATTAATTAATCCACTGTATGGCTGAGTGAAGGGGGTCATA